GAAGTGGTAGTTCTTATTTACAAGTTTGAATGGGTTTTGCTCTGATTGTCATCATGAGTCAGGCATATCTTGGAGATGATAGGTTGTTTATAGGATTTCTTACAAATTGCCACCAACACAGACCCAAATGTGAGTCTTAACAGCCTCAATTAAAAGGGCGGCCATTATTTGGTCCAAACACAAAGCTAAGTTTTGTAAATTGTTGAAACCTTAGGGGAGTTTAATTGTGTTAATCCATAACAAAAATAGTTAGGATTAAAAATTGACTATCAACTTTTGTTTTATTTACCGTCAACATTAGGGGTGGCAATCGAGTCAGATTCGGTTTGGCGGGTTAGGTTGAGACTCGAGTATAATAGATAACCTGTTGATCCAAACACGACCCACCAATCCAAAACGGGTCTAGATACCTGACTTAAATCTGAAAATTTCGGGTTGGTGGATCAACCCGAATGATCTAAAATATAATTTTAATTTACTAATTTACCATTGTAGTCTTAACAGAACTATCGGGTTTGATCCGATTCTGATCTGAACCCACGAAATCCAACACAAACCCATTAATTTCGTATTAGATTTGTATCGTATTTTTAGGTAGTGTTGAAAATTGCCACTCCTTGTCAACATGAAGCGTACCAGATGCGGTTAAAAAAAAACATGTTTAGAGAATATTAAATTTTTTTTCCAAATACTGTGTTTTTGGCTTAGCTTTGCGAATATGCAATACGCTGTCTCAGAGTGACACTAACCCGAAGTTCAACAAACTTGATTTCCTACAAGCTGACTTTTGGTGCTCAACAAACTTCTGTTCATCCAGGCAAAGGGCGAAGCCTCCTACGAGCAGCTTTTCCGATTGCTGTCCCACTAGTCATTGTTGCAGTTATGCTATTTATGATGGCTTTTGTTTTCCTGAAAAGAAGATTGAGGAAGAGATATGTTGATGGGGCACTGGCAACAAGAGGAAATTTTTATTCATAGCAATTACAGGACATCTTAAAGGTTTTTGAGCTAACATTAAATCGAGTATATTTGCTTATTACAGGTGTAGATGGAGTTGCTGATAACTTTAATTTTAGTTACTTCATCCTCTAAAGTATCAAATTTGTCACACATCAGGATAATAACTAAATGAATTGTCAAAACTAACGATAATAGGTAAGTGATGATCAAAGTAGAGCAAAATATTTCATTCATTTCAATAATTTCATTACTGATTATACTGAAGTGGGATAAATTGAAACCTTTAGGGTGAAGTGTCCACAATAGAATTTTAAAAACTAAATTGAGAGTGTGTTTATAGTTTAAGAACCAAGAGTGTAATTTACCTATTTGATTGTGCTTTCTGGAATTATTAATTTGGTAACTTTCATTGCTAACACAATATATTGTGTTTAAATTTGTGTAGATTCGGAAAATAAACGATCATTGAATTGGGCAAGACGTTACAATATCATTGGAGGTATAGCAAGAGGACTTCTTTATCTGCATGAGGATTCTCGCCTTAGAATTGTTCATCGTGATCTCAAAGCAGGCAATATATTATTGGATGGAAATATGAGCCCAAAGATAGCAGATTTTGGCATGGCAAGGATTTGTGGAGTTGATCAATCTGAAGGAAATACAAATAGAATTGCTGGGACATTGTAAGTTTTATGCCCATACTATATTTCTCGCATGATATGACGTTGTATCTTTCATAGAAAATTATGTACATCTCCATTCGATAGCCTCATTGGGATTGTCCTAGTACTAATTATAACAATCATTGAGCCTTGCAGTGGTTACATGGCTCCTGAATACACAAGGAGGGGCCAGTTCTCGGTAAAGTCAGATGTATTCAGTTTTGGGGTTGTAATTTTGGAAATTATCACCGGAAAAAAGAACAGCACCTTCTCCCAATCTGAAGATTCCGAAGACCTCGTAAGCTATGTAAGTGCGAATTGCAAAAACTTACTACAGTTTTTACTGTTGTTCTATGCTTTTGCACATTTGCAGTGGAGGATTTGAACTTGGCACCCCTAATGAAAATAGTTAGATGTCCAATACGAATCCTCACCATCATGACAGCACTAGGACTTATCATTTGCCATTTCTACATTGTTAAACATAGTAGAGTAGCTCAGAATTTACTTCATTTTTTTTAAGGCATTTTAACTAATATGACAGGCCATATAAAATGATGGAAAGGAAGGTTGTGTATGGTTAAACTTTGAATGTAGAGTATTTACTAATGCCTAATGGAAAGGTGCCATTACTTGTGACACCTATATGTTTGAGCAAATTGAAGTTTTTAGGTGTGAAATCCTTATGAGTGGAATTATTTCAAAAAGGTTTGGGAGCATTGGAGACGTGGCGAAGCTTTAGCTCTTTTGGATGCAAGCATTGGAGATTCTTATGCCCAAAATGAAGTCATTCGATGTGTCCAAGTTGGCTTACTGTGTGTTGAAGAAGATGTCAGTAGAAGACCTATAATGGCTTCCGTGGTCTACATGCTGAATAGTAATTCTGTTATCGTGCCAACTCCACATCGTCCAGCATTCTTCCGGAGCAATAGATCAGAGAGCAGGGTGGAAGAGGTGGGAGTTGATCAATCTAATACCGAAAGAATTTTAACTCAAAGTTCTGTAAATGAGGCATCAATTACTGAACTATATCCTAGATAAAGGAAAAAACAAAGGCAATACTAGAAGAAAACATCAAGTGCATCATCAGTACCACATTGTATTTCTGGTAGCATGACTCATTTACCAGGAAGGTATCTAAAGTTTCTCCACTAGTGTTGAAAATTAGCTTCTTCACTCTGATTGACTTCTCACACCTTAAGGGTCTGTTTGTTTGAACTGAAAATATTTTTCGGATTTTCTTGTGTTTGGCAGCAGAAGATGTTAGGAAAATATTTTCCAATGTAAAATGTTTTACGCTACAGGACGTAAAATGACTTATGGAGTAGGCATACGGAAGTTAATTTCAATCAAACTCATGAAGCTTATCAACCATTTCAGGGCTTACCTATTAAGATACTCGTAACAAATAACAAAAACCAATACCGAGACTATTGTTAAAAATCCATCCCTGTGCCTGCTACGAAAAACGCCATTGTTAGCCACCTTTCCCTCCTCCTCATCTTCGCCAATTCTACTCCTTTCCTCCCATGCCAGCATAAACAATGCATCCATGGAGATGTAGAAAATCTATCCCAAGAGTGGGTCTTGATAAGTTTTTGGGTGAGGGAAATCTAGAAAAGTGAAAGAGATAGAGTGGAGGAATACTTTTGTGCAGAAAAGTTTGTAACAGAATTCAAGAGCTACTTGTCCATATGATAGTTGATCAATTATAAGGTTTTAATTATTGAAGCAATTTTTATTGAGATATTATTAATTTGAATCTTCATTGGTACGATGTGTAATTGGTTTGAGAAATTATGAATTCCTGATTCTGGAGTTTGATAGATTTGGAGATTGGATGAATCTCTGGGTTGAGATTGTAAATCTAATGTACATGGGAAGGTGGTAGTTGAAGGGATTCTATTGAGGAATCTTCTTCTTGTAGGTTTTAGTTTTGTGGTACATTTTCTTAAAACTGCACCAAACATCTGAAAATGAAGGGAAAAAGAAAATTTTTTCAGGAAAATTATTTTCATTGAAAATGTTCTCCTTGGAAAAAAAATTTTATATTGAAGCAAACGGACCCTAAGGGTATAAGGATGTGCTTCAAAGAACAATGCAAGTTGTTGTTGCTCTTTAGATTTTTTTTTTTTTTTTAAAATAAACATGTCTTGAGGTTTTATCATTTGCACATAGAAAAACTAGGCTTCCTAGCTTAGTCTATCAATTATAACACTGCACCCGACGAGATTCTAGCCTAGGCTCTAAGTTTTAACTAATTCCCTAGTTCACTGCAAGTATAAAGGTCGTGGCTCGTATTACTAGGGAGTTAGGATTGATCCTATGAGAATTACTTTTAACTATTAAAGCTTTTAGCTCACTCTATTATTTAAACTAATCAAGAATTTCAACTAAGTAAAATAATCACAATGCTAAAACAATGCAAGGAAAATTAACAATTTGAAAAAACTCAACTAAACACAAATGTTTTAGGGTATAGAATCCATTAAATGTACCTAATTTTGGATGAAATAGTCAATTATCACTAATGCTCTTGTCTTGCTAAGGATGTATTTCACTCAAACCATTGAAATTCGCTCTTGCCAATGAACCGAATTTAACCAAATACTATAATTTCCCTAATCTTGTGGTGAAATCTAAAGTGAAGACTTAGGCTCTGTTTGATAGTCCAATTCAGCACTTAAAATTAATGTATTTAGATTTTAATATGTTTAGATGCGTTTGATAACCAAAAATTGAACATCTGAATTAATTAAGTGTCACTGAATTTTCTAGGTAAAATTTGCTTCCAAAAATAAGTGATAAACTATTCACTTAATACTAAATGTAATATATACTCAAATGTATTTTATTTAATAATTAACAATTTAATCAGTTAATGGTTTCAAATTTTAGATAATAATATGTATTTTTGTTATTAATTTTATGATTGTTTTCCTCTTGTATTTTATCAAATATTGCGTTAATTGGTAGATTTTACTTATTTTTGATAATTGGTGTTGATCGTAGGAATTTGAAACAAAAAGGGATTAAAGACGTGATTTGGTATTTAAAATAACTCTATGCACCTCCAGAAAATTTGGGATTTGGCTCGTGAGAATATTTCCAACTTTGAATCAAAGTCGTGAGGATTGGATTCAGTTGGCCGAATGGACAGTCATTCATTTGTAACAGGACACTAGTCCATTCTCTCTATAGGGACTAGAGGAGCAGTTTTAGGAGGAGTAGGAAACAGAACAATAGGACACATGATAGTTTCTTTATCTTTCTCGAAGCGAGAGACTAGTCAGGAGGTATCTTTTCTTTTTGGCAAGAAACAGACAGACGCTTCTTTCCTTTTCTTCTTATTTCGATACTTCATCGCATTCTTGAAGAATGGCTGCGGCAATAAGCTCAAATAAGCAGCAGCATGGAGAATTTCTGTATGAGTTCTGGGATAGGTTTAAGAAGCTATGTACAAGTTGTCCCCAGCACCAAATCAGTGAGCAGTGATTCAGTATTTCTATGCAGGCTTGCTTTATGCAGATAGAAGTCTTATAGATACTGTCAATGGAGGTGCCTTAGTGAATAAGACCCCTCGAGAAGTTTGAAAATTGATAGAAGGGATGGCAGAAAATTCTCAACAATTTGGCACAAGGGAAGATGTCCATATTCATCGAGTAAATGAGATAAATGTCTCATCAATTCAACAACAATTATCTGAATTAACTTCTATTGTTTGATAGTTGGCTGTAAGAAATTTGCAGCAGGCCAAAGCATGTGGTATTTGTAGGGAATATGACTTTGAATCTTCATGGAAAATTATCTACACTTCCATTTCATTGCCCCATTGGGGTCATCTTAGCACCGTTTATAACAATCATTGTGGCTTGCAGTAGTTACATGGCTCCTGAGTCCTGAATATATGAGACGGGGCAGTTTTCGATAAAGTAAGATGTATTCAGTTTTGGGGTTCTTATTTTAGAAATTGTGACAGGCAAGAAGAATAGTAGTTTCCAAAAATCTGAAGATTCTGAAGACCTCGTAAGCTATGTAAGTGCGAATTGAAGACCGCGGAAGCTATGTAAGACCTCTACTACTGTTTTTATTATTTTTCTGTGGTTTTGCACAATTGCAGTCAAGGATTTGAACTTGGCACCCCTAGTGGAAATATTTAGACGTCCAATGCGAATCTTCACCGTCATGATGCCATTAGGCCTTATCATTCGTCATTTGTTCGTAGTTACACACAGTAGAGTGGTTCAAAATTTTCGTAAAGACTAGTTTGCTTCCTTTTCTTTTTACAAGTCATTTTAACTAATTTGGCAGACCATATAAAAGGATGGATAGGAAGGTTGTGATTCTAAACCTTTTGTATGGTTAAACTTTGAATGTAGAGCATTTACTGATGTCTATTGGAAAGGTGGCATTACTTGTGACACGTATATGGTTGAGCAAATTGAAGTTTTTATGTGTGAACTCCTTATAAGTTGTATTATTTCAAAAAGGTTTGGAAGCATTGGAGACGTGGCGAACCTTTAGCTCTTCTGGATTCAAGTATTGGAGATTCTTTTGCCAAAAATGAAGTCATTCAATGTGTCCAATTAGGCTTACTATGTGTTGAAGAATATGTCAGTAAAAGGCCTACAATGGTTTCCGTGGTCAATATGCTCAATAGTAGCTCTGTTACCCTACCAACTCCACATCGTCCAGCAGTTTTCCGGAGCCATGGATCGGAAAGCATTGTGGAAGAGCTGGAAGTTGAGCAACCTAATACCGAAAGAATTTCAATTCCAAGCTCTGTAAATGAGGCATCAATTACTGAACCATACCCCAGATAGGGGAAGAAATAGGCCAATTCTGGTTGGGAATATTGAGTGCATCACCAGCACCACATTGTAGTGTTTGTTGCATGACTCGTTTACCAGGAAGGTATATTTCTCCACTAGTGTTGTAAATTAGCTTCTTCACACTTGAGGATTTAAGGAAGTGCTTGAAAGAAAAATGCAAGTTGTTGTTGCACTATAGATTTTTTTTTTCTTAAAAAAAATAGACATAGTTGGCTTTTATCACTTATATATAGCAAAGATGGCTTCCTAACTGAGTCTGTCAATTATTTTTTCGCTATTTGTTGTCTTCTTTATCATAGTATCAGAGCAAGAATTAATCATAGGGTCATTGTTTAAAATAATACTTTGGTATAAACTAAAACTAGAAACTGTGATGGGAATTATCTGAAATAGTGCGGGATAGTAGAAGTCTGCACCACGACTCAAATACCTAGAACAAACGTTTCCTCCTCAAGTACCAAATTATGCAAGCAATGATTCCTCCTCGACGCCAACCATGTTTTGAGTTTACAAGTCAAATGCCTACAAACAAGCAATGATTGCTCCTGCAAATTATGTTTTGTGGTCTCAAGTTTTTGAGCTGTATATTTTGGACAAAAACAACTTGGAATATACACTTGAAGTAGTAAAACTAAACATGTTTTGTATCAATTTACTCCACAACATCGGCAAAGCTTCTGCTATGAATTGGTTCTTCGATGAGGCTTTTACTTCACGCCAAATTTCAAAAGTCTAAAGATCCCATTTTGTGTAAGTATACAAATCATTTATCGAATATAAGGAGTATTAGATGTCGATTCCACAAGAAATATTGTCAACTACTGGTGTTATTCGAGCTTCTCTATTATTTAGATTATTACAAATAAAACAAATAGATCTACACTGCTAACATGCAACACAATTAGTAAAAATTGACATGCATAATTGACATGCAAATATGCTTAGTGTTATGGAATTACTATCTAATTATGCAAATGAAATAACCAATTGAATTCATTATTTTGGTTGGTTATAACGTAATTTCCAAATATATGTGATACATGCTTTCACTGATGTATTAACTGTACCTATAACTATCCCATTCCTATTAATGTGATATGAAACTAGTTATATATTCGTTAAATTCTATGAAATTACATGAAACAAACCATCAAAACCACAAAGATGTAACCTTATATTATTGGGCTAACTCCCTCGATTTAATACTTTCATGAACTAGTGTTAAATCACAATGGTATTAGGCTCATGAGTAAAAAGACTATGTCTCATATTGGTTCGAGAGACGAAGAAAGATCGGTTAATATGTAAGTAAGGATTCGAGACTTAATAGCTTAAATTTTGGATTAGAATTGAGTTCCTGACTTACACATTAGGTTTTTTGGTGGACTGTTTCGAGATGTTTCTCCTCTAACAAGTGGTATTAGAGTTTCAAGTTACGAGACTGGACTACTCATGGGTAAATGGATCCTTTTCGGAGTTGGACCGGTGAAAATTTTCTTCTTAGTGATGGACTGAAATGCTAAGGAGTTTAGTTGGTGTTGAACCAGGTGCGTCATGGGTTTGACAAGGGATTTAGTTGGTGTTAGACCAAAGAGCCAAGGGTTGACAGGGATCCAGAATCTAATTTAGATGTTGAAGAAGAGTGAGTCCATGATTTTGATAGCATAAATGCACGACTGTATTTCAACCTTTTGACCCTGAGAATACTTGAATGGGATTTCAATACTTTATACAAAATGTACATCTATGTATTAGTTTCAAAATGGTTTAAGAATCATTTCAATCCAAAGCTTGTAACATAGGTTATAGCCAAAATAACAGAAGGTGTGAAAACTGTTGAAATTTCCTTCTTTTAAACTTGATTGCATTTCATCTTTTGAATATATTGCACTTCATATTCACTTTAAATCATTTCAAACCATCAAGAATCATCCAAATATATTCTCACCTCACATCAATTAATGATTGAATCATTAAATCCAACAAAACGTGAAATTTTAATCACTTAAATTCATAGAAATGCAATTTTTCAGAGTTAAACCATAAAATGCAAACTTCACTAGAAATCTAATTAATTAACTATAAAACTAATTAAAACACACCAAAATTAAACTATAAATATACTAAAAATATACAAAATAAACACTTATCATTCTTATCACAATAATAATGAAGATAGTCTTGCTTAGTTTTTGCACTCTTCATAAAATGTTTATGCAGAATGTCTTCTTTTCTTGTGCACACGTATAAATATTTTCTCACATTATTTGATGAAATATTTTTAAGCAAATAGAGTATTTAAAAATAATTATTTTACCAATAAATAGTTGAAAAAACCATCAATTGGTAATGAGAGGCACAAATTAATTGGTAATGAGATTGGTTTTAAGAGAGTTGAAGGAAAATTATAAAAAAAAAAAAAGGCTTCAATGCCTAGCAACCATTTATATATGTAGGGTGCCTTTGTATCCAAGGAAAGTAAAAAATAGCTGTTGGGATTAGAGTTATCAATGGGGTTGGATCAACCTCAACTCAGACCGATCAATTCAATATAATTCGAATCAAGCCTTGCAGAACATTGGGCTGTAGGGCTAGGTTGAGGTTGGAGCTCAAAATAATGCATGATTAAATCGTGACCCGAGTTTGGATTTAAAGGGGCTCAACCCAATTAAAACCCGACTTGACCAATTAAGTACATAAACACATATTCTTTTATTCATAATGATGTATGTTATTTAATAATTATATATTATAATGTAAATAGTTTATGACTTATATATAATGATAAAATAAAATAAATATTACATGCATATTATTTTTAAAATTATGAATTAATTGTGAGTTTGGGCCAAACTTGAAATGGGCTGAAAACTCTTGCATCTTGATGAGCCATGTATGAGCTTTATAGATTGAGCCCAAAGACTGAGTCCCAGGGCCCTAAAGTTCTACTTTGTTTTTGTAAGCAAAACTTGAACCTTTCAAAATCCAACTCATAAGATCCAATAAACATCCTGAACAGTGACGGAAAAACACATGTATAATTTCGTTCCAGCCATCTAGTTGAAAAGCTTTCACTTGCCTTTAATTTGTCCAAGTACTTGTGGTGACAAGTGTTCAGTGGGCTTGTAGCAATCTTCACTAGCACGCTACAACCGCTAAAGTTGGCCTGCAGTCAAAACAGAGCTCTTAGAATTCCTAGTGTATTCATCTTTGGGGTTCAAATCATGAGGGGGAAGGGGTAGCAATAGCGACAAAGGAGGGAAGAGGGGAGAGTGATGGCGGGGCGAGTGAAAGAAGAAAAGGTGGTAGAATTTTTTTAAAATTTCTTTGTGTTTTTATAAGTTATATTTGAAATGTGTACTTTTGGAGATTGTTATTGTAGATTTTACAAACAAAAATAGTTTGTGAAAAAATAGACTAATCCAAATGAAGCCACAGTTTTAGTCATTGTATTTTTAACAAGATTTAATTTTTTTCTTATTAAATGACAAATGTGCCTCCACTGGCTAAAGAAAGATGGTGATTTCAAGGCTAAAGATTTTTTATTTTATTTTAATTAATTTGTAGAAAGTCAATTTACATATATACTTATAGGTAATTTGAAAACAATTCTCATTGCAAAAATTAAATGCCAGAAATAATGAATGACTGCAAGAGTACAAGTCCAACCAATTCGCAAGTGGGTTTTTAAATACTAAAAGTTTGTATTTCAATGAGTTGTAGGGTATAATATGTTCCTTGTATAGTATTATTGTACTTTTGGATATGTCCGTCGCTACTTCAGAAATTGGCGGACGCTGGACAGAAGTAACGAAGGCCAAAAAAAAAAAAAAGAATCCAAGGAAATGACCACATAGGATTAACAACAAAAATTTATGGTAGCTGTGGAAGGAAAAGAACAATCAACAATTGAATGGGAGAAGGAAAAGCTTTGCAGAAATAGTCCAGAAAGCACGGAATGAGTGGGAGGAATATGACAGAATTGTATTGCATAAAGTGAAGCTTGGAAGCAGAGAGAAAACAAAAGAAGTGGCTGAAAGGAGTAACCGGGAGATCCCAACAGACCAGGTTAAAATCTCAGTAACAGCTAAGCAAGATATGGCTGGGAGGAGAACGGCATTGTAGCAAAGAGAAGTAATGACATGGTGGATACTGCATGGGCACTAATAGAACAGGCTGTGAAGTTTGCGTGGATGGATCAAAGCACAGGAGCAGGGATGGAACAAGGTGCAAATGGTACTAGGCAATGAAGGCCTAAGAGCTAAAATTCAAAAGAATGATGGCAACGATGCGATACTGGGTACTGTGCAGGAATGGTTCAGTAGGATAGAATTTGTAAATAGTGAGAGTAGCAATAGCTAGTTATTATTTGGGATATGAATATTATTATTCTTTGCTTCTATTCATGATAATTTTTTTTTTTAAATCCTTTGATTTGTGTTATACTGAATGAATTCCTGGCTTCTGGTAAAACAACCAATTTCATCAGTGGGACAGCATTTTCAACTGAATGTAACATTTACTTATGGTAAAACAACCAATTTCATCACATTCCAGGTAAAGGAGGCCGGATTGGAGATTGGACTTCTCTGGTTTAGAACCGTTTGTAAATAAAAATTGCCCACAGTATACTTTCATGATGATTAATGTTCACTATTGAATTCTTGAACATTAGCAAAGGGCAAAAGTCGAATCATGAAAATACCTTATGGCCCTCATGTTGTGAATAAATCAACAGCTCCTTAAGCTTTACAGCATTCCGCAGAATAAATTTCACCAAAGTACTCTCCGTTGGCTTAGGAGAGCAGGAATATTCCAGTTTGACTACCTCGAGGAAAGATAGATATCCAGGCAACAATTGAATTTGATCGTAGTCACCAGCAGCTTGCCTCGAAAATTCCTGTTTAACAAAGTCAAACGAGGAAGACAATGAAAAGGACTACAGGTTAAACATCAAGGAACCACCAAAGCACATAAACGCAAAAGTTTAT